TAGTATTTGAACTAAATGTAGGACACTGAAAGATGTGCTCTCTAGGTTAGTACATGCCCAATATATTACTGGAGATCTGTAGAGAAATAATTTCAGAAAGAATGAAGTGACAGAGCCAAAGCAAAAACAATACCCAGATGTGGATGTGACTGGAGATGGAAGTAAAATCCGAGGCTGTAAAAAGCAATATTGAATAGGAACCTGGAATGTTAGATACATGAATTAAGTCAAATTGGAAGAGGTCAAACAGGAGATGGCAAGAGTGAACACTGACATTTTAGGAATCAGTGAACTAAAATGGACTGGAATGGGTAAATTTAACTCAGATGACCATTATATCTACTACTGTGGGCAAGAACCCCTTAGAAGAGATGGAATAGCCATCATAGTCAACAGAAGAGTCCAAAACGCAGTAGTTGGATGCAATCTAAAAAATGACAGAATGAACTCTATTCGTTTCTAAGGCAAACCATTCAATATCACAGTAATCCGAGTCTATACCCTGACCAATAATGCTGAAGAAGCTGAAGTTGAACAGTTCCATGAAGACCTACAAGACCTTCTAGAACTAATACCCAAAAAAGATGTTCTTTTCATTATAGAGGATTGGAATGCAAAAGTAGGAAGTCAAGAGATACCTGGAGAACAGGCAAAATTGGCCTTGGATTACTAAACGAAGCAGTGAAAAGGCCAATAGAGTTTTGTCAAGAGAACACACTGGTCATAGCAAATACCCTCTTCCAACAACAGAAGAGAAGACTCTACACATGGACATCACCAGATGGTCAATTCCAAAATCAGATAGATTATGTTCTTTGTAGACAAAGATGGAGAAGAGCTATACAGTCAGCAAAAACAAGAACGGGAGCTAACTGTGGCTCAGATCATGGATTCCTTATTGCCAAATTCAGACTTAAATTGAAGAAAGTTGGAAAAACTACTAGACCATTCAGGAATGACCTAAATCAAATCCCTTATGATTATACAGTGGAAGTGACAAATAGAGTCAAGGGATTAGATCTGTAAGACAGAGTGCCTGAAGAACTATGGATGGAGGTTTGTGACACTGTACAGGAGGCAATGACCAAGACCATCCCCAAGAAAAAGAAATGCAAAAAAAAAAAAAAAAAAGAAAAGAAAAGAAAAAGAAATGCAAAAAGGCTAAATGGTTGTCTGAGGAGGCCTTACAAATAGCTGAGACAAGAAGTGAAAGGCAAAGGAGAAAAGGAGAGATATACCCATTTGAATGCAGAGTTCCAAAGAATAGCCAGGAGAGATTAAAAAAAAAAAGCCTTCCTCAGTGATCAATGCAAAGAAATAGAGGAAAACAAAAGAATGGGAAAGACTATAGATCTCTTCAAGAAAATTAGAGATACCAAGGGAACACTTCATGCAAAGTTGTGCACAATAAAGGACAGAAATAGTATGGACCTAAAAGAAGCAGAAGATATTAAGAAGAGTTGGCAAGAATGCACAGAAGAACTATGCAAAAAAGATCTTCATGACCCAGATAACCACAGTGGTGTGATCACTCAACTAGAGCCAGACATCCTGGAATGAGAAGTCAAATGGGCTTTAGGAAGCATCACTATGAACAAAGCTAGTTGAGGTGATGGAATTCCACTTGAGCTATTTCAAATTCTAAAGGATGATGCTGTGAAAGTTCTGCACTCAATATACCAGCAAATATGTTGTCTAGTTTTTCTTCCAAGGAGCAAGTGCATTTAAATTTCTTGTCTGCAGTCACAAACCACAGTGATTTTTGAGCCAAAGGTAATAAAGTCTGTCATTGTTTCTATTGTTTATCCATCTATTTGCCATGAAGTGATAGGACCAGATTCCATGATATTTGTTTTTTGAATGTTGAGTTTTAACCTAGCTTTTTCACTCTACTCTTTCACCTTCATCAAGAGACTCTTTAGTTCCTCTTCACTTTCTGCCATTAAGATGGTGTCATCTGCCTATCTGAGGTCATTGATATTTCTCCTGTATATGTTGATTCCAGCTTGTGCTTCATCCAGCCCAGTATTTCACATGATGCACTCTGCATAGAAGTTAAATAAACATGGTGACAATATAACCTTGACATACTCCTTTCCCAATTTTAAACCAGTCTGTTGTTCCATGCCCAGTTCTAACTGTTGCTGCTTTACCTGCATACAGTTTTCTCAGGAGGCAGGTAAGGTGTTCTGGTATTCCCATCTCTATAATAATTTTCCAGTTTGCTGTGATTCACACAAAGGCTTTAGTGTATTCAATGAAGCAGAAGTAGTTGTTTTTCTGGAATCTCTTTGCTTTTCTATGCTTTTCTGGAATCCCTTTGCTTTTTCTACGATCGAATGGTTGGCAATTTGATCTTTGGTTCCTCTGCCCTTTCTACATCCAACTTGTACAACTGGAAGTTCTCAATTCATGTATTGTTGGAGCCTGGTTTGAAGGATTTTGAGCATTACCTTGCTAGCACATGAAATGGGCACAACTGTGAGGTAGTTTGAACATTCTTTGGTATTGCCCTTCTTTGGAACTGGAATGAAAACTGACCTTTCCAATCCTGTGGCCACTACTGAGTTTTCCAAATGTGCTGGCATATTGAGTGCATCTCTTTAACAGCATCATCTTTTAGGACTTGAAATAGCTCAGCTGGATTTCCATCACCTCCACTAGCTTTGTTGATAGTAATGCTTCTGAAAGTGTACTTGACTTCACACTCCAGGTTGGCTGGCTCTAGGTAAATGACCACACAATTGTGGTTGTCTGGGTCATTAAGACCTTTTTTTGTATAGTTCTTCTGTGTAGTCTTGCCACCTCTTATTAATATCTTTTGCTTCCGTTAGGTTCATACAATTTATCTCCTTTATTATGCCCATCTTTCATGAAATGTTCCCTTGGCATCTCTAATTATGGACAGAGTTTCATAACACTGCATAGGAGGCAGTCAACAAAACCATGCCCAAGAAAAAGAAATGCAGAAAGGCAAAATGGTTGTCTTCAGAGACCTTATAAATAGCTGAGAATAGAAGAGAAATGAAAGGCAAAGGAGAAAAGGAAAAAAATATACCCATCTCAATGGAGAGTTCCAAGGAATAGCACAAAGAGATAAGAAAGCCTTCTTAAGTGAAGAAATAGAGGAAAACAATAAAATGGGAATGACTAGAGATCTCTTTAAAAAATTAGATATACCAAAGGAATATTTCATGCAGAAATGGGCACAATAAATGACAGAAAATGTATGCACCTAACAGAAGCAGATGATATTAAAAAAGTATGAAAGTAGTATTAATATCTGCTGCCTGTGGCTTGATCTTTGTTGTAGGACCTAAGAAAGCAATTTTGAAGTCCAAGGTTTGGAAAGTAATGCATGTAGAAAAAGAGAAGAAAGAGATTACAGGTTGTTTAAAAGCATTTGTTAGTCAAGTATTAATTAATACTTAAGCTAACTTCTCACAGAAATGGAACAAATTCTGTGTGACAACACACTTTACTGGAACCACATTTAAAAGTTCCTCAGCAATTGGCAGACCAGAAACTAAAGAGTACTGGAGTCATGAGTGAGCAACTTGACCTACATATAAATATGGGTGAAGACTGTGAAAACCCCATTTTGTATGCTCTGTGAGAGGTGCATCCCATGTCTAACCCACATTCAAAGCAGAATCACAAAATTTCTTGTTAATGACAAAAAAAGAAAAGCAGCTTTTCCTCTAAGAGTGTTACAGTTTCTCACCTTACATTTAGGTCTTAAAATCCATTTTGAGTTTATTTTTGTGTTTAGTGTTAGAAATTTTTCTAGTTTCATTCTTTTGCATATAGTTGGCCAGTTTTTTCAGTACAACTTGTTGAAGAGACTGGCTCTTGTCCATTGTATATTTTTGCCTCCTTTGTCATAGATAATGTGTCTCTAGGTGTGTGGATTTATCTCTGGACTTTCTATTTTGTTCCATTGATCTATAATTCTGTCTTTGTGCCAGTACCATACTGTCTTGTTGATTGTAGCTTTGTAGTATAGTCCTATGAACAAGCCACACAAGAGCGGTCTTCCATGGAAATCACCAGCAATGGAGAAAAATTGGCCCCAAAATTCTCCAAATTTCTACCTATGGAAATTGGGTCTCCATGCATCACAACTTTCAGTGCTAACAACTAAACCTTGTTTTATTTTGCAAGCAATTTGTAAATAATGGAAACTTTTATAAATTATGCCCTAAGGCCTTGTCTGAAAGACAGTTAAAAGGATACTACCTTTACAAAATGAATAGTCAGTCTATCAGCTTTTATCTTAAGAAAACTTCAGGGTTCTATGTATGTATGTTCCCAAAGTCCCTACAAAGATGGAAAAAAGTGAGATGACAGACTAATTTTTTAGCTGGATGGTCACACATAAAGTAGTATAAAATTTATAATATAATATAATATAATATAATATAAATAGTATCAAGTTCCTCCTCATGATAGTAAGTGAACTATCATGTCAGTGTGTCAAACTCATCTTGCCACTTTGGGGAGTAGAGGAAAGTCTGGAGGCTGAAAGAGGAATTAACTGCTTAAAGATATTTGAGCATTGCATAAAATGTAATGTATAGGTCATTTCAAATTTAGATGACAGAATACTCCTTTAAAAAAGGAATTTTGGAAAATGCTTCTTTTTAAACACTATTTAAAAGAATCCATAGTAGAGCCTTCTTAAAAGCAAGTAATACACTCCTCCTTCAATTTATCCATATTTTTTTGTAAATTTTCTTTGTACAATGTGATAGACACTTGCAACAATGATCTAAAAGAGTAAAGGCACTTTCAGAAGTCCTGAAATCATTAGCAGAGATTCTTCACTCAACTGAGTAGTATCTGGGCCAATGCAAACTTAGGCCAAGAAAAACATATGAAGACATGGGTTCATGTGATAGTGATAGACTCAATTCTTTGACATGATGTCAATATATATTCTTTTCTGTGATTCAGTCACACTTGCATTTCAAAAAAATGTGGTCCATCAAAGAACTGACCTGCTGCTTAGCACCTGGCTTCTGATCCATAGGCGTCATAGTGAGTGTTTTGGTCTCTTTCTCATATTGGCAGTAGTATTTCACCCAGGATATTCCCAAAGCCCCTACAAAGACAGCAACAGTGAGCTGATAGAATAAGTATTTTGGCTGCATGGTCAGTTTACCTGTAAGACAGAACCCATGCACAGTTTACTTTTCATGGTCATGATCCAGATCTAGTCCTACCTTTCCCCTGAGGTCGAGCTATGAAGTGCCACCAGCCCAGTACACATATGGTTATTGTAATCCTCATCAACTACTTTCCACATCTGCTCTGGCTTGCTCCAAACCACTCTCCTTACTGTGTTCCCTGTGAATGTTCCCATTATACATTATATTGTATGAGCTAGGAACATCTGTAATCTTCTGCTTTTCCTTCCCTATAACCTGCCCTATTTGACTGGTGGTAGGGTTCTGCTCATTCTATCCCCTACATGTCTCTTCTTGCACTCCTTTTATAGCTGAATTCATTCAGGACTCTATTTCTGATGTTTGCCAAAAAATGTTTTATAAGACATTCCAAGAAAAAGAAAAATTTACTATTTCTCCAATTAATGATTTCAGTGGCCTTCTCTGATCACTCCTTTCTAGCCTATTCTCTACTCTTTTGTTAGAGAATATTTTTAAAATATATATCTCTATTTATGTCATTCCTCTTATTATAAACCACCTATGGATTTCCCATTCTCTCCAAATTCCTTAGGTTGGCTCACAAAGCCTTTTATAATGTGATTGTATTTAGCTTTTCAACTTGGCTTTTTGCCCCCCTCACCTCTATGCCCCTGACTCATTGAATTACATTCAGTTATCAAATAAATAGTTGGTGATATAATTGATAGACCAAATTCAGGACATATTTAATAGTGAACAGTGCACAGTTAACAATTGTATATGGACAAGTATAAACCAAGACTTCCTGGATAACTAAGACCCTACAAATAAAATACACTCTCACATACCTCTGTGCCTTGACTCATGCAGTGGTATACACCTGGAATTTTCTTTGCTTTTTTTTTTAACCTGTCAAACCCCCACTCTTAATTCACATTTCACTTCATGTATCACTTCCTCAGTGAAGCCCGTACATATATTCTCCAAATGCAATGCTCAACACATTTCATTATAATTCTTAATATACTTGTGTCTTCATTAGACTGTAAACTTCTTGAGGTCAAAAACTAAATTTGATCCATTTTTTGTACCCCCAGTTCATTACACATTGTCTGGCAAAAAGGATTTTTAGTAAACATGCATTCAACTGACTAGGAATATCATATCCATTTGAAAAATTTAAACACTGGGGAGTAGAAGGATCACATAGTTGATATTAGAGTCAAGACAACATACTCATTACTCTGCGCCTTGTATAACATAGCAGTGTTTCTCAACTAGGAGCAGTTTTGCCTCCCAGAGGACATTTGGCAATGCTGAGAGACATCTTAGGTTATCAGAGTTGGGAAGTACTATCAGAATAAAGTGGGGAGAGACTATAGATGCTTCAAAACAGCCTATAATGCATAGGACGACCTCTCAAAACAGAGAATTACCCAACCTGAAATGTCAATCAATAGCACTTAGATTGAGAGATCTTGCAATGGAGAGGTGAAGAACTGAACCTGACAAAGAGAACACATCTTTGAAAACCATCAAAGTGGACTGCTCTAAGGGAGGAAAAGTATGATAATACTAATGCTGAAATACCATGGTTTGTGGATTTCAGTGGGTTTTGCCACTGGTAACCTCTGAATAGTCTCTTCTACCTACTCACTAGGTAAAAGACTGAAGTCACAGGCTTTGGAGACATTGTATCACAGTTCAAAAGGAAATCAAATAGCACATACAGGTTTACATAACATTAGAAGGCAGAAAAGCTTAAACCTCTGAAATATTCAGTGACTGAATAAGATAACCCATTTCCCTTAGTTAGTAATGAACAATGTATTTTTCACTAAAATCACAATGGTTGGGTAGTGCTTTAAAGGCAACCTTGTGATCTTAAGGCAATGGAAGGTATAGGGTACAGTTGTAAGAGCATACGTTTTGGCATTTCACAAACCTGACTTTACACTTAGCCTTGTTACTTGATAGTTAGGTGACTTCCAGATAGTGATCTCTCTAAGCCTCCGTGGTTTCATGCGAATACGGGTATGGTAAAGTGCTTTCAAAGGTTACATGAAGTAGTATGTTTAAAGCACTTAACACCATGCCTGGCTCATAATAGGTATAATAAATGTTATTTTATGCCTCCTCTCTCCTACCTTCCTTTTAGCCTAAGTCAGAGTCATTGAAAGCATTAAGCAATTAACAATCCCCATTTTGAATCTCAGAGAAAACCTTAAGTTTATCATCCCACAGCCTTTGTAATACAAATCCTTAACCTCCCCCTTTAATTTTTCCCTCCTTTTTATTTTCTCTGTTCTCATGCTGGTTTCCAAAGAGGTATAACTGGAAGGGGTCTATGAACTATATGGGTGCCTGGAGTTTGGAGAGGCCAAGTGGCAGTGGTTATCAGCCTACTTAAACCCAGTGGCTATCCCTGTATTCCCACACACATTTCTCTTGTGTATAGAGATAGCCTTCGATGGTTGGCTGTCCTGGAAGTTTGCATGTCTGTGGAGCTTCTTTCATCCTTTTCTTAAGTTCTTCCATCTCTTCTCGGGTACTGGAGAAATGATTTCTTGTCTGTCAAGATATTATCATCATAATCATTATCATCAGCACCATCATCATGAAGAAGCATTCAATGGTCAGAGATTCAGTGCAAAGTTTTCTCAGCTTTTATCATTTGATACAACATAGCAAAAAACAAGTGCTGAATGGCATAGTAACTAGAAAACAATTTAGTGTAGGTTAACAGTACTAAAGGCTAAAAGGGAGAGAGAAATGTAAATAATAATGTATCTGGGAGACATTTTCTAATAGAAATCACAAAAGATTCCAAGAAATAAAAGCTGTAAGAATTCTGAGCATCACACTGAACTCTGCCTTACAAAAAGGAAGGCTATAAAGAAGGTTCCCTAGGATAATATTATCATGGCAACTTCTACATTGTCTCAGGTAAAGTTACTGCTTACTTGACACTGAATCAAATCCTGGCCATTAGAATAAAGGATATGAAAGTGTGCTCTCTTTGAACATAGATCAACAGAAAACCTACATTTTCATGCTCATGAATAAAAAAAGCTAATATTAAGAAGTAGTATCTTTAAAAGTACATGATTAAAAATCAATGGCAAAACACAGTTTGAAATGTGTGTATCATCACTAGAAATAGGTCTTCACTGTTCAGTCTCAAGATTGTCACATGATGTCATTGAAAAAGGTGATATGGGCTGTCCTACCTAGTATATATATATATATATATATAGATAGATAGATAGATAGATAGATAGATAGATAGATATAGATATATATACAGATATATAGATATAGATATAGACAAATATTTGTTGCTAAACTCAGACTTTTCAAGTTATATTTGGAGGAAGATTAAGCAATTGACCTAGGTATAGGAATATTTTGTAAATTGGCAGAAGATAGGAATTCTCACATTCTGGTGAAAGAGAGTACCCAGAAAGAAACAAGTATAAATCAGGAATTTCCTAAACAACAAATTTTTGTTTTCATCCAAAAATTCATCTATAAATTTTATGCAACGTAACAAGTCCAAAATCACTACCTCAGTGGTGCCTTCTTTTACTGTATCAGACAATTATTCTATACTCTGTGCTTTTTTAACTTTTTTGGTCTTAACTCTATTTTAGCACTTTGCATAAGTAATCATGCTGTATCTCTGTTTATCTCTCTCAGCTCTAAGAGACTGAATAATCCCTGAAGACAAAAACTAACGTGCCTCATTATGGTATGTTCAGTGCATTTTACAATGCCTGGCACAAGGTATATTATATGTTCATTATATACCTAAGTAATTGTTAAATGTGGGTTAAATAACAAAATGAGAAAAATGATATGCGACAAGGAAGGGAAGGCTGTGCTTATGTCCATCTATAAGAAAAGCATGGGAAAGAAGGTTGAGACCATCCTTCAAGATAATTTTTTAACTATACTAATGTAATGAGAAAAGAAATGAGAAAAGGAAGGGAAGAATGGGCATTCATATTAATAAAACCTACAAAGAGAGTATCTTGACTAATTAGCATAAGAACTGATCTGTACTTAAATAAGCCCATAGATGGGTTCTAATCTGGGAGAGATATAGCAAATTAGCAACATTTAATAAATATTGGATAGATAGATGTGTTAGTGGGTGGAAGGGTGGGTTTGAACAACAGTCAGCCTCAAAGACAGGGAATAGTTGAAACTGGAAGAGTAAAAACAATCTATTACACTAAAATATTTGTGATCCACACCAATTGGTTCTCACAAATTAGCTGGGATATAATAACCTAAAATTCCAAAGTCAAGATATTGAGACTGAAATCCAATTGCAATGCAAAGACTGGCGAAGAAACCCACATGAAAACTCACATTCTGTAAACTGAGCTGAAGCTGTTGTTTATATGGGAGGAAATCCTGTGTTAGTTCCACAGTCAAGCTGTTGGAAATGAAGAGGCTATGAAGAAAGGCCAAGACCTAGAGAAAATGTATAAAAATAACTTTATCACCACCATCTTCTCATTAATCAAATAAAGGGAAACAAGATATACAAAAAAGAAACTTCAAACAGTGTTTAACCAGTATAGTGTTAAGAGCAGTAATGCAACATAAATAGGTCTACACATAGTTATTCTTTCATTAGGTTAAACATTCACACTGGACTCAAATCCAGAAAATAAGAACTACTAACAAATCTATTCAACAATACGCTTTTCAGATAGCATATGAAACCAATCAAATGTGGACAGGATGAACATAATGTGGGAATAGACTGCCTTTATATCTTCAGGACTGGCACAGAGTAAAGTACTTATAAATACATGCATGTTCAGTCACTTCAGTAGTGTCAGATTCTTTGTGATCCCATGGACTGTAGTCTGTCAGGCTCCTCTGTCCATGGGATTGTTCAGGCAAGAATACTGGAGTGGGTTGCCATCCCCTCCTCCAGGGGATCTTCCAGACCCAAGGATTGAATCACTGTCTCCTGTGTCTCCAGCATTGCAGGCAGATTCTTTAATGCTGAACCACTGGGGAAGGAGACTCAAATATTTGTTGATAAAAACAATAAGTAAAAATGGATAAATGATCATAATGAGCAATATCATAATGCTAAAATATCCAAGGATCTTTCTTTGAAAAATAATTTTTAAATTAAAAATATATTGGGGAGGGGGTTGGACATTGCAGAAGACATTGAAATGATCAAATGTTCACTCCAATAAAAATCAAATATACACAAATAACAACAGAATAAAAATTTCATCTGTGAAATACAAACATATTAAAAATCAATGCTCAGTGCTGGCAATAGTAAAGTGTAATATGTGTGGGTGTGTGTGTGTGTGTGTGTGTGTGTGTGTTGGTTGCTCAGTTGGGTCAGATTCTTTGCGACCACATAGGCTGGAGACTGCTAGGATCCTCTGTCCATGGGATTTCCCAGGCAAGAATACTGGAGTGAGTAGCCGTTCCCTTCTCCAGGGGATCTTCCTGATCCAGGGATAAAACCCAGGTCTCCTGCACTATAGGAGGACTGTTTACCATTTAAGCCACCAGGGAGTAGAGTGTAACAGGAAGTAGTAAAAACTGCTCTATTCTTTTTAGAAAGTAAACAGTGAAGCACATATAAATATGCACTTACATGCTATATATATACAAACACATCTATATGTGTGTATTAATATATATGTACAGTTCAGTGACTCATTCATGTCCAACTCTTTGTGACCCCATGGACTGCAGCACACCAGGCTTCCCTGCCCATCACCAACTCCCAGAGCTTACTCAAACTCATATCTATTGAGTCAGTGATGCCATCCAACCATCTCATCCTCTGTCATTCCTTTCTCCTGCTGCCTTCAGTCTTTCCCAGCTTCAGGGTCTTTTCTGATGTGTTGGCTCTTTGCATCAGGTGGCTGAAGTGTTGGAGCTTCAGCTTCAGCATCAGTTCTTCCAATGAATATTCAGGTTGATTTCCTTTAGGATTGTCTGGTTTGATCTCGTTGCTGTCCAAGGGACTCTCAAAAGTCTTCTCTTGTACCACTATTTGAAGGCATCTTTTTTTAAGTGCTCAGCCATCTTTATGGTCCAACTCTCACATCCATACATGACTACTGGAAAAACCATAGCTTTGACTCTACGGATCTTTGTTAGCAAAGTAATGTCTCTGCTTTTGAATACACTGCCTAGATTTGTCATAGCTTTTCTTCCAAGAAGCAAGCATCTTTTAATTTCATGGCTGTAGTCACTGTCCAAAGTGATTTTGGAGCCCCAGAAAATAAAATCTGCCAATTTTTCTCCATCTGTTTGCCATGAAGTCATGGGACTGGATGCTCGTGGTCTTTGTGGGTTTTTCTTTCCAATTTTTAAAAATTTATTTATTTTTTATTGAAAGATAATTGCTTTACAGAATTTTGTTGTTTTCTGTCAAACTTCCAAGATGAATCAGCCATAGGTGTACATATATCCCCTCCCTTTTGAACCTCCCTCCTGTCTCCCTCCCCATCCCACCTCTCTAGGCTGGTATANCAGTATTCTTGACTAGAGAATCCTATGGACAGTGGAGCCTGGTGGGCTATCGTCCATGAGATAGCAAAGAGTCAGACATGACTGAGTGACTGACACACACAAAAACACACAAACACAAACTAAATATATTGGGTTAGCCAAAAAGTTTATTTGGATTTTTCTGTAAGATGTTATTATGGGAAAACTTGAATAAATCTTCTGGCTAACCCAATATATGTATATATACATAAACATATTAAAAACTATGTACATACGTATGCACTATACACATGTGTGTGTATATATATGTATATGTGTATATATATATGTATATGTATATATATATATATATATATACATATATATATACACATGGTGGTGGTGATGGTTTAGTCACTACTTCGTGTCCGACTTTTGTGACCTCATGGACTGCGGCCCACCAGTCTCCTCTGTCCAGGGGATTTCCCAGGCAAGAATACTGGGGTGGATTGCCATTTCCTTCTCCAGGAGATCTTCCTGACCCAGGGATCAATCCCGAGTCTCCTGCACTGCAGGCAGATTCTTCACCAACTGAGCTACCAGGAAAGTCCTAAATATACATACAGTTATATATGTGTACATGTACAAACATATATATAAATGCACATGAGTGTATGTATCACACACACAGTTATGTAGACACCCTTCCTTTTTCTTTCAAAATTTTCCCATCCCAAGAAATGACACCAACACCTACTTACTTAGTTAATCAAGCCAAAAAGCAAAGAATTCTGGTTTCTTTCACTCACAGCTTAGTCTAATCAATCAGTAAGCCCTGCCAGTTTTGCTTCCAAAATATATCTCTAATCCAATCATTCTTTTCTATTTCTACTACCACCACCCTAACCCAAAGCAACATTTTCACTTGCCTAGACCACTGGAATAGCCTAACTCGTTTCCTCATTTCCGCTGTTGCCCTCTTCCAAGTTATTCTCCACACAACAAAATCAGCTATGTCATATCCTATTTGATATACATCAGTGATTTTTCTACTACAATTCAGACTAAAATCTAACCCCTCACCATGCCTACAGGTCCTATGCCTTCTTATCAGATATTATTTCCTGCCACCCTCCTTTTCTCTCATCAGTGATACTCACCATTCTTTACTAACTTAAGGACTATGTACATGTGTTTTTTTCTGTGCCTGAAAAGTTCTCTTCCCATTATTCACATTACCTTATCTTTTCTTTCTTTAGAGCTCATCTTAAATGACACTTTCAGAGATCTCCCCTTGACCATTTGACCTAAAGTAGCTGTCTGCTCCTGTTCTTTGTTTTAGCCATTACCATAACTCAAATTACTTTATTTATGTATATCCTTCTTTCCACCCCATGAAAGTGTAATCTTCACAAAGACAGAAACTGAGTCTGTATTTTTCACTATATGATACCGTGTTTAGCACAGTGCCTGCATATAACAGAGACTCAATAAATGCTTATCAGATAAATGAATAAATATTTGTTTGCAAATGTACACATACAGATACATACAACTGTGATCACAGATAACAGGTACACAGATATACATGCTTATGTGTAATATGTGTACACATATATGCACATGTGTACACACACCCACACCAACAAGTACATAGGCAAAATAGATAGACAAAAGAATATAACAGACACACAGAATTTAGGAGGCAAACACCACAATATTAACAGTGATAATCTCTGTATGGGGGATATGTTGTATTTGCTTTACATATATTAATAAATTTTTTCTAGCTTTTTCTGCAACTGTTGCAACTGTTTTTACATTGTTTTTATAATAAAAAAGAAAGTTGCTAAAAATCAAAACACTTATCAAACCACAGTACATCATCTTCTGTAATATATTAAGGATATTTAATTAGAAAAATATTCAAAGGATAGAAGTAAAAATAGAATGGGAAGTCACGGAATGCAAGAAAAATGCATTCTTAGAACAGTGTCTGAGATATGATGGGTATTTTCAGAAACCTTATGAAAGTGTGAGAGGAAGGGAGGAGAACAAGGTAAAATGAAGGGTGACAGAAAAATCAAGGAACACGAGAAAGGAGAGGAGGAAAAGAAATATAAAGAAAAATTATAGCTATAGAGAGAAATCAGGAGGAAGGAAGGTGGGGAAGAGTGAGGAAGAGTGAGAGAGAGAACATCGGTTAGAGAGCAAGAATAGCACAAGCCAGTGTGTCTATTTCATTGACATTCATTATTAAGCATTGAGTATATTCATATTCTTAGAGACTCCAATTTTATCATCAAAGTTCTCTACACTTACTTGACATTTGGTAAATATTTTTAGACCATTCATCATTAGAACTTACTGGCTCCACAATATTGAACTTCTTAGACTCTTGAACTTCCTGGATTTGATAAACATAATCAAGGGATGACTCAAAGAAATTGCGCCTCTCCTTGTCCACCTGGAGGTCTGCCTGTAGAAGAAGGGTAATAAATGTCACATATTGGCATAGTCATTCATGCTAGTCAGTGTTTATGGATTCAACAGAATGCTAGGGCTGGAAGAGAATCATGCTACCAAGCAGTGATCTTATCCCTTTATTTTACAAATAGGGAACATGAAGTCAAGATAGAAAAAGTGACTGATGCAGGATATCCAGTTTCTGGCCTAACAAATAAGAAGCTTGGAAGTTATTGTGCTCATCCTCATACAAGGAAAAGCTAAACTGAGAATCAACCACTCTCCTTAGAACCAACAGACCACTGAAGTCAAAGGAAAAACAACTGTCTCCAAAAAAAATGTATCCAAACAAACAGATAGTATCCAAAACAAATGGATAGATAGTTGAATACAGAGAATCCGAGATTACCAGAGCAGAAGCCCAGACGCAGAAGCCTGTTGCCACAACCAGTGTCAGACCTTATTTAAGAACAGATCTCTTAAAAAATCCAAAGATAATAGGGAAGGCAAAACACAAAGATACCAGAGGAGATTTTTGCCTCTAGCAAGAGCGGTTATAACAAATTAAGCACAGCCTAAATCCTAGTCAGATAAGTATAAAAACACATAATAACATCTTTTTATATCAGTTCCTTTCACCCAGGGCATCATGTTCAGCATTCAACAAAATGCTACAAAGGGTACAAAAAAAGTGAAATAAACCAACAAACACAGTCTGAAGTAGCAGCATCAATTCACTTCAGCTCAGTTGCTCAGTCGTGTCCAACTCTTTGTGACCCCATGGACTGCAGCACACCAGGCCTCCCTGTCCATCACCAACTCCTGAAGTTTACCCAAACTCATATCCATTGAGTCGGTGATACCATCCAACCACCTCATCCTCTGTCATCCCCATCTCCTCTCGCCTTCAGTCTTCCCCAGGATCAGGGTCTTTTCAAATGAGTCAGCCCTTCACATCAGGTGGCCAAAGTATTGGAGTTTCAGCTTCAACATCACTCCTACCAGTGAACACTTAGGACTGATCTCCTTTAGGATGGACTGGTTGGATCTCCTGGCAATCCAAGGGACTCTCAAGAATCTTCTCCAACACCACCGTTCAAAACCATCAATTTGTCAGCACTCAGCTTTCTTTATAGTCCAACTCTCACATCCATCCATGACTACCAGAAAAACCATAGGCTTGACTAGTCAGACCTTTGTTGGCAAAGTAATGTGGGACTCTAATAGTTCTGTGGAGCTCACACAATCTGATTTTACTCACATGGAACACTTCTAAGACAAAAGGAACACTTCTAAGACATTGGCAAAGTAATGCTATTCTTTGGAACTCTGTATTCAGATGGGTATATCTTTCCTTTTCTCCTTTGCTTTTTGAAACTCTTCTTTTCTCAACTATTTGTAAGTCCTCCTCAGACAACCATTTTGCTATTTTGCATCTCTTTTTCTTGGGATGGTTTTGATCACCACTTCCTATACAATGTTATGAACCTCCATTCATAGTTCTTAGGGTACTCTCTCTATCAGATCTAATCCCCTGAATCTATTTGTCATTTCCACTGTATAATCATAAGGGATTTGATTTAGGTCATACCTGAATGGTCTAGTGGTTTTCCCTACTTTCTTCACTTTAAGTCTGAATTTTCCAATATGGAGTTCATGATCTGAGTCACAGTCAGCTCCAGGTCTTGTTTTTTTCTGACTGAATAGAATTTCTTCATCTTCAGCTGCAAAGAATATAATCAATCTGATTTTGGTATTGACCATCTGGTGATGTCCATGTTTACAGTCATCTGTTGTTTTGTTGGAAGAGGGTGTTTGTTATGACCAATGCGTTCTCTTGGCAAATCTCTGTTAGCTTTGCCCTGCTTCATTTTGTACTCCAAGGTCAAAGTTTCCTGCAGGTATCTCTTGACTTCCTACATTTGCATTCCAGTCCCCTAAGATGAGAAGGACATCTTTTTTGTTGTTAGTTCTAAACGGTGTGGCAGTTCTTCACAGAACTGTTCTGTTCAATTTCTTTGGCATTAGTGGTTAGGGCATAGATTTGATTACTGTGATGTATGGTTTGCCTTGAAAGCAAACTTAAATCTTTCTATTGTTTTTGAGATTGCACCCAAGTACTGCATTTCAGACTCTTCTCTTGACTGTGAGGACCACTCCATTTCTTCTAAGGGATTTTTGCCCACAGTAGTAATAAAATGGTCATCTAAATTAAATGTACCATTCCCATCCATTTTAGTTCACTGATTCCTAAAACACCTATGTTCATTCTTGCCTTCTCCTGTTTGAACACTTCCAATTTACCTTGATTTACTGACCTAGCATCCAAAGTTCTTAGGCAATATCGTTCTGTACAACATAGGACTTTACTTTCACCACCAGACACATGCACAACTGGGCACTGTTTCTGCTTTCGTTCAGCTTCTTCATTCCTTCTGGAGCTATTTCTCTGCTCTTCCCCAGTAGCATATTGGGCACCTACCAACCTGGGGAGTTCAGCTTTCATTGTCACATCTTTTTGTCTTTTCATACTATTCATGGGGTTCTCATGCCAAGAATGCTGAAGTGATTTGCCATTCCCTTCTCCAGTCCAACATGTTTTATCAGAACTCTCCACAATATCCCATCTGTCTTGAGTGGCCCTACACAGCACCACTCATAGTTTCATTGAGTTAGCCAAGGTTGCAATCCATATGGTCAGTTTCTTTAGTTTTCTGTGATTGTAGACCTAGTGCAGAACCTAAAATAAAAAACTTACTGTTGGAAAACCTCATAGAAAAAATTATATCTATTCCTGACCTATCAAATGCAATGTTAGTTACTTTTAATTTTTTTTAAATTGAGGAATAATTACTTTACAAAATTGATTTGCTTTCTGTCAAACATCAACATGAATTAGCCATAAGTATACATATGTCCCTGCACTCTTGAGCTTCCTTCCCACTTCCCACACTTTCCAACCCCTCTAGGTTGTTACAGACCCCTAGTTTGAGTTCACTGAGTCATACAGGAAATTTCCAATGGCTATCCATTTTACAAGTCATAGCATACATGCTTTCATGCTACTGTCTCCATTTGTCTTACCCTCTCTTTCTTCCCCTCCACCGTGTCCATAAGTCCATCACTATCTCTGTGTCTTCATTTCTTCCCTGCTAATAGGTTCATCAGTACCATAGCTTCTTTATCCATTCATCTGTCAATGGATATCTAGGTTGCTTCTAAGTTTCAGCTAGTGTAAATAGTGCTTCAGTGAACATTGGGGTACATGTGTCTTTTTCAATTTTGGTTTCCTCACGGTATATGCCTAGAAGTGGTATTGCTGGGTCATATAGTAGATTTATTACTAGTTTCATAAGGAATCTCCATAGTGTCCTCCATAGTGGCTGTATCAATTTACACTCCCACCAACAGTGCAAGAGGATTCCCTTTTCTCCACATCCTCCCCAGCACTGGTTTGTGGATTTTTTGATGGTGGGCATTCTGTGTATTGATCTTGTATTCTGTGATACTAAATTAGCTGATTAGCTCTAATAATTTTGTTAGCTCTAATAATTTTGTTATAGTATCTTTAGGATTTTCTACACACAATATCATGTCATCTGTAAATAGAGTTTTACTTCTTCCTTTCCAATCTCAGTCACCTTTCTGATCTGGATTTCCTTTATTTCTCATTCTTCTCTGATTGCCATAGCTGAGAATTCCAAAACTATGTTAAATAATACTGGTGAGAGCATGCAGGCTTGTCTTGCTCCTGATCTTAGAGGGAACGCTTTCAGTTTTCCACCATTGAGAACAATGTTTGCTGTGGGTTTCCTGTATATTACCTTTATTATGTTAAGCTCCTTTTATGTCCAATATTTGAAGAGTTTTATCATAAATGGGTGTTGATTTCTGTCAAAGTTTTTTCTGCATCTATTGCGATTTTCATATGGATTTTATCTCTCTATTTATTAATATGATGTCTCCCATTGATTGACTTGTGTATATTGAAGAACTCTTGCCTAACTGGGATAAACCTGACTTGATCATGGTGTATGATGTTTTAGTCTGTTGTTGAATTCTGTTTGTTAGAATTTTGTTGAGGGTGTTTGTATCTATGTTCATCAGTGATATTGGCCTGTAATTTTCTTTTTTTGTGTAATGTCTTTGTCTGATTTTGGTATCAGGGTGATGATGACCTCACAGAATGTATTCAGAAGTGTTCCTTTCTCTGCAATTTTTTGGAAGAGTTTTAGAAGAATAGGCATTAGCTCTTCTCTAAATGTTTGACAGAATTCTGTGAAGCCATTTGGCCCTGGGCTTTTGTTTTTTGGGGAGACTTTTTATCACAGTTTCGATTTCAGTGTTTGTGATTGGCTTGTTCATAATTTCTATTTCTTCCTGGTTCAGCCTTGGGAGGCTGAACTTTTCAAAGAATCTATCCATTTCCTCCAGGTTGTCCATATTTGGCATATAGTTGCTCATAACTGTCTCTTCTGAGCCTTTGTGTTTCTGCATTTCCTGTTGTAACCTCTCCTTTTTCATTCCTAATTTTGCTCATTTGATTTTTCTCCCTTTTTTCCTTGATGAGTCTGGACAATGGTTTTTTTCAGTATTGTTTATGTTCTCAGAGAACCAGCTTTTAGTTTTATTAATCTTTACTATTGTTTCCTTCATTTCTTTTCATTTATTTTTGTTCTGATCATTATGATTTCCTCCCTTTTAACTTTGGGATTTTTTGTTATTCTTTTTCCAGCTGTTATTTGAAGTGTAAAGTTAGTTTGTCTATTCAATCTTTTTCTTATTTTTTGAGGTAAGATTGTATTGCTATAAACTTCCTTCTTAGAACTGCTTTTCCTGCATCTCACAGGCTTTGGGTTTTCATAATTTTCCTGTCATTTTTTTCCTAGGAATATTTTAACTTCCCTTCTTCCTTCAGTAACCTATTTGTTACTCAGAAATGTATTGTTTAATCTCCATGTGTGTGCTTTCATAGTCTTTTTTCTTCTGTAGTTGATATCTAGCCTGGTCAGG